GCCATCGATAGCTGGTGAAGAGCTAGGCTTACGACAATTGATGGCAATTGTTGCCCGACGTTTACCCTTACCAATATCATTCTTCGAACCACTTACAGTGCTACAGGTAAACTTCTGTTAAAATTTTTTTTTTTAAATTTTAAATTAGCAATTACTACTAATTAAGTCATTAATTTGACTACTAATATTTACATTAATTATTTAAATGATGCTTTTAGGAGTAATTTAATTATATTATATTCATTTAAAGCGATGAAAAAAACTTTTTATTACAATGCTTCAAATTGCTTTTTTTTTTTTTTAGTTTCTAATTTAAGTTTATTCAATTTTAATTCCTCTAAAATTTTCATAAATATATCAAAGAATAGAAATCTTTTAGGTCCTATGTGAGGAATTACGATATTCCGGACAAACACTAAATCGAGCAATATCAGCTTATGATCCATTAGATCGTATTGCTTATGTAACAGCTTTTGCTGTAAGCAGCTATTCCGGTATGGTATGCCGGAAGCAGAAACCGTTTAATCCGTTACTTGGTGAAACATTTGATTATGTATCTAATGAAGGATGGAAATATCATGCTGAGCAGGTTAGTTCATTTCATAAATATTAAAAATCATTATAGTCTACATGATTTTAGCTTAATTAAATGATAATTGATAAGATGTGATAAATGATAGTTGAATATATTTGTGAATTTATCAAGATAGAATTTAAAGTAATCAACAAATTTTATTCATAAAAGTCTAGAATAGAGCTTTTTTTTTTTCATTATTCATAAATATTTACTTTTTTTAAATTTCAAAAAATTTTCAGGTCAGTCATCATCCAGCTATAACAGCTGCACATGCTGAAGGATTAAATTGGGAATGGTGGCAAACATTAATATCAACACCAAAAACATCATGGTCAGGTGTTATTGAAGCAACACCAGAATTACCTGTACGTGTACGATTAGGTAAAGAGGATTATTGCTGGAATAGAGTAAGTTAAAAAAATATTCATTATTTTTTTTTTTTTAAAAAAAGTGTAAAAGTGAAATAAAAATAATTATCATAATTTTTATCACAAAAAAAAAAGATAACAAAAAATTATCATATAAAAAAAAAAATTTTTTTTTTTTTTTCAGGTAAAAGTAATCATTGAAAATGCCTCAGCAACAGCTGAATATCGTAAATTAAAAATGGATGGAATAATGAATATGAGATGTAGTAATGGTTATACTAGTACAATAATTTTTCGTAAAGATCGACAAACTGAAATTTATGGTACTATTATGGATAATCATGGTGTTACAGTTGTTAAACTTTTTGGTTACTATGATCGATTCTTGCAAAAGTTAGCATTTATTATTCAAAAAATAAAATAAAAGTATATATGCTTTTAAATTTTTAAAAAGAAAATGTAAAAAAAATTTTTTTTTTTGTTGAAATAGAAATTTAGTAGAAAATTGAAATGTTTAATAAGATACATCCAAAATTCGTTCAAAAATTAGCTAAATTTTGATCATAATTTGTATATAAAAATTAAATGTTTTTATGAAAGTTTTTCCATATGAAATAAATTTCAAAGATTTTAATTTTAGATAAATTATAGGAACACTTGAAGTTTAATAACTAAGCAAATCAGATATAATTGAATTGATGATATTTTGCTATCATGAAACAAACAAACAAACAAACAAACAAAATTTCTTCATTTTCAATTTTTGCTTTTTTTTTTTTGTATTTGTTGAGAATGTTTGAAAATAGTTTTGTAAGATTATCATCTATTATCTTTCATCTTTTTACTAAGCCATTAAATTTTACTTCGTTCATAACTTTAGGGTAGAAATATTTATATTCAAATTCTGGTTCCATCCATAATTTCAGAGATAGAAATATTTATGTATTTTTCTTCTTTGTTTAGCTCTACTCCGCTCACAATTTTTTGAAATATATATATTTGGAAGAATGATCAAATCAATTTATATGTAACTAAATATTAGATATAGAAGTATATTTAAATATCCTTTAATTATAATAAAACTTTTATTTGAACAAGGTCATTTAATACTTTACAATACATTCATTTTCTGCCCTTTTTTTTAGAGTAAATCAAAAGGATTACTTATTCGAAGCAATTCCATTACCCAAAAATGCAAATCAGTTCTATGGATTTTCACAATTTGCATGCGGATTGAATGAATTTTTAAGCAATGATGAGAAATTAAGTGCTCCACCAACCGATAGTCGATTTAGACCGGATTTGAAAGCTCTCGAGAATGCTGATACTTCTCGAGCTATTGAAGCTAAAGCTAATCTTGAAAAGGTTTTATCATTCTTATTCCCTTTTTTCCTTTTTTTTTTTTCATTTCTAAACATACAGATTATATATTTTGGCAAAAACTTAGCTTATTTTACTTAATCTAATAAGTTTAAGTAAATTTGTATTGTTCTATTTATTTCATAGATTTAAACTCATACGGATTTTTCTTTTTTTATTTTCACTTTTTTAAATATTTTAAACTAACAAAATATATTTAACTAGAATATACTTTTTAAGTTGCAACGAGCACGTAATGAAACGATACATAAGCGTATGTGGTTTGAACAACGACAAGATTTGATGACAAATACAACTTTATGGATTTGTAATGGTCGATATTGGCAAGCAAAGGAAAAAAAATTTAAGGGTTATTCGGATATGCTTCAATTATTCTGGTATATTGCATATTTATCAAATTTGTTTTATACTCTATTTTCAATCTCAATTTAAGCAATTATTGCAGAATAAAATTAGAAGTATTATTTTATGGTTAGAATGAAAAAAGATGAATGATCTTTGTAATATAATATTGATTAAAAATTTGTCATTGTAGATGGAAATTATCATCTCGAAATACAATTTTCAAAAAAAAAAAAAAACAAAAAACAAATAGTGGAACTTAAGAGTGTCACTTAAATTGTACTGATGTCAACTATCAATGGAATCGATCAACTGAGGTATGATATAGACTAAATCAAATATCACGTTATATTTAATGTTCGAGATAGGAAGTTTATGTATTATTTAAAGATATTTCTGTGCCTTAGAATAAATTAACGAATAATATTATAGACATCTAAAAAAAAGCATGATATATATTCAAATTTATCCTACTGTTTTTCTAATAATAATAATGTGAACCGGAATAGGATAGTCTTAAGCCGATTCAAAAGTTAGTATCGAGTATCGAGAAAGCGTAGTAATATTGTATAGCAACCATTGAACATGCTAGTGAAATTGTTTTGACAATTCTTTATATACACTAAACTTTTGAAATTCTCTATACAATTGAAATTATTAATTATTCAGATACAATGCAAAAATGGATCTTATACAATCTATCAATGGAAATAAGAAAGCGAAAAATATATGTCACAGCAATTGGCTACTATATTAGTTATTAAACTAGAAAAAAAAAAGTAAAGTATTAAAGGAATGCTCCAAAGAGTATATTTTACATTATAATAACCTCATTAAAATGTACTAAGAGAGCTAAATTACAAAAGGTAATCATAATAATACGACAAATATTATTCGAATTTTCTGGCCTTAATTGTTATTATAATATCTAATTCATGTTTTATTCATACTTTAACTATTCTCATACTGTCACTGATGCATGCAACAATAAGACTATTTCCGACAAAAATCTTTTAGTAACACTTATATATCACTAATGTAAATTACTTTTTCATTACCTGACATTAGCATTAGCATTTTTAACTTAACTTTTAAATCATTCCACAAAAGAATACTGTCCAATTCAACTCATCGTTTTAACAATGATAAAAATAGCAAAAAATATCTTTAATAAGTGAATAAAAAAATTTACTGAAGCTATGAAGATCTTATAGATCAGTTATAAAACTAAAAAATGACAAACTATTCTACAAATATGTACATTGAACTATTATAATCAGTAAATGTTACTTCGTTGAATACCAAACATAGATGCATATGAAATATGCACAAATACCAGCATCAAAAATCTATAAGATGAAGAAAGCATATAAGAGTGACTACAGCAGCAATACACATATACCTGAAGGAGTATAACCCTACGTATACAGGCAGTGATCCTTAATTAAAAAATCCTTATTAGATTATTCACAATGAATTATGCACATTGAATAATTGGACAGTCTTTAACAGTCCTTTAAATCCATTCTTTTTGAATAGAATCAATTCTTTCCAACAACATTTATAAAAAGAATCTTTTCCAAGCCTCCCCCGTTGAAATAAAAAAAACCGGTCAAAAATTCAATAAAAGTTATCAAAATGAATGTAATACAAAACCGAAGAACAGTAAAGCACACGATATTTGAATCCAAAACTATGAACCGATACAATCTTGAGAAGTATAAAAATTAAAAAAGTAAGCAAATTACATCATTGAATCAATCGCAAAAAAATGAAGACAAAAGCCATATTACAAGGAAAAAAATAGACAATGCATTGAAAAGGCGGAAAACATGACTTTTTTTGAAATCAAAATAAGCTCACATTAAAGACGTAATTTTTGAATTTTGCAACCAGTTCATTACATAAATGTCTTAGTAAATCAAAAAAAATATCAACAAAAAATAAAGCGAAAATGGAAGCATGTATTAGAAATCAATCAGCTTTTTTATCGTAATTTCATACTATAAAAAAGCTTAATACTGTAAATTTATCATTGCAAAAATTATAAAATTTCTAATGAAAAGGTCAACAAACATAGAGCAGCGAAATGCATACATTTCGGAATTATTGTTTCTAATTCTTTAAAAGACAGTTCCTTAAAAATGAGAATAAAAAGTTATTATAAAATTCTAAAAGCATAACGAACGACTGCTAGAAATTACCACCTTGAAAAAATTACTGATCTACTATCTGAAGCTTTTGGAAGTTGACACAGAACAATGATGCATCAGTGACTATTACCTTCTGTAAAACTATTTATTGATTGATTGAAAAGCATACATTGAATAAATTCATATGTCCATATTTGGTACTTGGCTGCTGATGCTATCATGGGATGAACTACCAATGCTTCCCTGTGACTCATCGCTTGATGTGTCACCATCTCCACTCTGTAAATGGGATTATAACAAATTAAGAACATAATTCATAGAAATACACCTCGATTTTTCCTACGACTAAAAAATGGTACTTTAGAAATCAACAATTCCTGGCATTACATAATATCAATTAATCTTCTGCCTTTCCATAATTGTGAAAAAATCATTCATCAAAAGCGTAAAAGAATACATCAATTACGGTTAAAGAGACAAATAAAAAAGAAGGCAAAAGAATTCTTTATTATTAAATAATCCCGCATCGTAAAAAGATGAAGCATATATTTACCTGAAATCCATTACGTTCCCCATCAACAGTTAATTCATGCATGGCTTCTTCAATTTTCCTTTCCAGTACCTTTTGTCTTTTAATACCTTTAGGATCAAAATCACTCGACCAACTTCCTGAAGCTCCTTTTAGTTTGTAGATTTATTCTAAGCATATTTTGAAGCATAAAAATAAATTTATTTGATCAATTCACTCTTAGTTACACTATAACCAATTTTGCTAACTATTTGTCATATGATCAGAAAAGGCAAATCTCAAAAGTACTACTTGCATATCATATATAGCTTCCTTTATTAGCAAATAAGCAGTGAATTCAAAACATTTACCCGCAATGACCTCAGTCGGTTCACCAACATCAAAACTACCGAGTGATCCTGTCGCTTCAATTATCACAGGAACCGATTTAGTTATACCGCTTCGTAATCTATCTTCATTTGATCCGGGAGTAATCTAGAATTATGTGTTCTAAACAAAATGAGAAATTCTTCCTATATAAAGTAAAAATCTTAAACAAAAAGAGTAATTTCTACTATAAAAACTACTACCAAAGAGTAAACAATATTCACCAAATCAGCACTAGCATGTTCCAATGATTGAATATATGTTCGAAATGAAAACTGCGGTCCCATCCATAAGCGTCGATGAGGATCTAAATATGTCAGCACCTCAATCTGAAAAATTGATAAGTAGAACTTCTTAACTCTATATATAGAACTTTTTTTAAAAAAAAATATATTATAAATCAAATGCAGTCATATTTCTTGCTTTAGTCTCACAAAACCTTTTACTTCCTTATCGTGCTAATATGACATAGAAGAATTTCAGTGGCCTCTGATTCTAGTAATATATTAGTTCAACCTGGCTTATCCACTTCGCATTTACTTCCTCTTCTTCATTTTTCTCCTCACATACATCATGAGGAATGAACCACATCCACAAAGGATTTTGCTCACAAATAGGTGCACGAAAATCTGCTGATAGTTTATTCCTAAAATATGAGCTAAATAAGTGAAATAAAAAAGAAAGGATATTTATAACAATCTTTTTTTTTTAAATGCAAGTATAGAAGACAGGAAAATACCTTTGTAAAGTCCATTGAGCTACTGCAGTTGGAGTACACTGAATCAGTGTTTCATCAGGATTCAATCGCTGTGGCACACATGGAGTAAATATTCCACTCGTTCCATGGTGCGGAGCAGATGTGACCGATAGTAAATATTCCGTCAAAACACCATCATTGTTGATTACCAAAAGAGAAGTGTTTTTCTGATTAGGTATAGAATTCGAAGCGAATGAAATCTATAAATAGTCTAATTAAAAAAAAAGCTGCTTATGAGATACTTATGAGATGAAGTACGATTTCACGGTGAAATGAATAAAGTTAATATTTTGCACATACCGATAAACGATGCTGATCACTCGGTTTGGTCGACGCCTTATAGTATTTCTTTCCAGAACTAAGTGAAGCAGGTGTCATATCCGAAGCCCAGGCACTCAGATTGTCAGCTGAGTAAAATCTTTGCTGCAATTAAACGATTAAATTCATAATGAAAGAATCCGTGAGGAGTAGTAAGATAACTAAGAAAGAAGTTAGAATTTAAAAACTGGAACTCGAACAGAATTTAATGGAAGACTAAAAAAATGAAGTTAGGAGCAACACGCACCTTTATTCTCACATGCGCTTCCATACCTATCGGATTTGGATAAGGACCGATACGTGGATTACTTACTGAACGCGCAATGTTACATCGAGAAACATCGGGATGTTCTCTGCATTTAAATGGGATCATTATTATCTTCCAAAAATTCACTTCAATTCACTTCGACTGAAAAAATTTTAAATGTCAGCGGAAATTCGGTGTTACTGGCTTACCTACAAACTTGTGCACCACCAAACTGATGACCTCGTGTTTCGGCTGCTTTTTTTACATTAATATAACCCATTTCTGGTAAACCAGCGGAGCGATGGAACCTATAAACCCATAACAGTACATTTTGCTGGGAACAATGAACCATAGTAACACATGCTTTTAAAGAATTATAGCAAATGAAAATCATTTTAGATATTCCTATCTAAATGTTAAGAATTCGATTTCTTTAATGGCGAGTCTTCTGCTCGATGCGAATACTGCTCATCATCTGCATTAAAAAATAGGGAAATATAACATGAAAATCGTGGCATTACCATCTGTAAAGAGAGATATAATAGCATCGCTATTTTAATTTTAGTAGCATCGATCAAACTTAATACCTCGATTCCCTATTAACAATTTCACCACCATGAGTGCGAATGGTCACCTTACCACCATATGGACATATACCAAAAATGTGAGTAGTTCCATGATTTGTGGCTATTGCTAACCAACGATTATCAATAGAAAAACTGCAGCTAACTACCTAAACAACGAAAAAATATGAATTATTGGAAATACCTATTTTTAGCTTAATCAATAACTATATAGGTCTAAAACGTTCTCAACTGCTACAGCGGCATGGAAATTAATTCTATTAAAACAGCAAGTAAGACATTGCTGCTTCTTATCCAAGCTTAAATGTAAATCATTTCTAAGAAAAGAGGTCAAAAAGAAAGGATGCATTTCATTTTTTCAGTTGTCAACAAAAATATGGCCTATTTAGTGATAATAAATTTTGAATAGTAAGACCAGAGACAAAATCATATGTTTTATGTGTTTGGTCTTTTCGAAGATATTCAAACCTTAGCAGGAGTAGTACCACGATATAATCTGTAGAGATGACGCACAGCACCAAGCAATGAAGAACCAGGATGAGGATGAATGAGAAATACGTGAAAATAAGTAGAAGATTGTCCTGCAAGTCAACCTCTAATAGTCCAGAACTACAAACAAATCACTAGAAACGAGAAAAATAAAATAAGATACCTGCAGTTACCAGTAGTTGTCCACCATTTCCAAACGCTATAAAACCAATTGGTTCCGTATGAGCAACGAAATGTGCTATAACTGCATCTACGTATTCAATATTCTGCAAGAAGTTTTAACTTCATGACAATTTCAGAACAGCTAATAAACAAGATTCATTTATTCTTAAAACTTTGATTTTTTTTTTTTTTAGAAATGCTCTTATTTAGAAAAACTTACACTAATATTACTATCAACTGGAAGCTTATTTACATCCACCACAGTTATAATTCCAGGTTGAGCGACTGAACTTAGCAATTCTTTAGGCTGCTGAGATGCAGAAAGCGTTGAAACGACTGAATTACCAAACGAAGTCAATGTTTTGGTAAAGTTCTATAATAGTTGTATTATTAAAAAATCATAATTTGACAAATTAGTAAATTTTTGTTAAGAATTTGGATATGGAACTTCCAAGATATCAAAAAAAAAGAAGAAAAAAATGGATGAGAATCATTAGAAATTTACCAATGATCTCAACACTGTTTTATTCGCCGTTGTAAATCATAAAGGTCCTTAAATCTTTTGGAAAGCATGAGGATAACAAATAACATATGAAGTTGGATATCTCATATATTAATATTGACGAATTAGTTTTAATTAATTAGGAAAGGTTAATGTTTTATTTTGGCTTAACTTACCCTTGCTACACTTACTACGCTGTAACTAGACGAATCTTGAAATATATCTTCACCACCCATTCCACCACAACTTTGGCATTCTTGTTGTAGCTGAAACAATGGTACATAAAATTTTTAAATACAATACGAATACTATATATATATATATATATATATATATATTAATTGGGTAGAAAACGACTTTCTACTATATTTGTTCCGATGGAACGAAATGAATACTTTTCATATAGAATATCCTAAAATACTGACAGACAAGAAATCAAGTAAAGTTCTTGACTGAATCAGAAAAACTCAGAACAAATAAAAATTTGAAAGATTAGCAGACGAACTTCTGAAGTAGCGAAAGCTAAGAAGACATCCGAAATAGCGAAAGGAGTAGTACCAGAACCTTCATATATTTGAGTATTACATATAGTACGTTGCTCTCGCAGTGACATCATATCAAGGATCACAATGTGATCAACAAAGGATACAACGAATACTCTAAAAGCGGATAAACTTAGAAATTGGGAAAAAGATTGCTTCATTGTTCAAATTCATTTTTCACGCCCAGTAGTTCTAGTTAAGATGACACAATGACTGAAGCATTTTCTCCTAACACTAGGACTAAATATTTACCGCTTTTGACAGGAAGTACAATTCAAATACTGAATGACCAACTTCAAAAAGGATTTTGAAAAAAGTGAAATGTACAAAATTACTTGGTAGAAGCTGCGAGTGCCTGCACAGGACTTGCGAAATTAATTTTATGCACAAACTGGGCACTCAAAAGTGAAACAAAAGATACTGTACAGCACTGTCGGTCTGGAATCAATGTGTTCTCATCGACTAGTGCAAATAATGGACGAAAACCTTTGAACCTGAAATATCATGTTTTCTTTCGATTTATTATTAACTTTGCCCACACATCTATACAAAATTCTATATTTTAAAAGCAATAGAAATATATTCACCCATCATGATGAATGCCAAAACTTGGTTCACAGTCCACAGACAATAAAAGACCCGTTCGAAGTGGACCTTGTCGCTCCGATAATATTTCTCTACAATTACCATTTTCCTGAAAACTTAATGTGAGATTGAATGTCTTTCGAAATGTATATTATTTTCTATTTTTCATGTACTCATTTTATCTTTAACAGACAATATTTCCTCTTATCCTCTCATTGTGGCACTGTTTGATCATTCGCTCTGGAACAGTTTGTGGATTCGTTGTCTGTGGAATAATATCATGAACAAGCTCCGTAAAATGAAGAAAAAAGAAAAACATGCTGAAGATGTTGACATCAATAACACGAATATGCTTTTTTATTTTCATGCATTCAAAAAATGCGATCAATACTTCTGTAAATGAAATGAATAGTAAGATAATATAACTAACCATGCGTGCCCAAATTTGATATCCCCTGGCTAGACCAACAACTACCACATCAACCACACGTTTTCGATCATTTACTGAAATAAATGTTCTGCCACAAAGAAAAAGTACAAATAGTTTTATATCCTATCAAAATTAAAAAATCATAGTTTGTAATATTAGCGATAGTATAATACAGAAATACCAAACCATTTGAACACTTCTGAATATTGACCCATTCAATTCGCTCTGGAACAGTTTGTGGATTCGTTGACTGTGGAATAATATCATGAACAAGTTCAGCCATGGAACTCATCAGTGATGCCTCTCTGAAGAGCTTATGATGTATTACTAATTTATAAAAGTCGAAAAATTCAAATTATATATTATATGTAATTTAGAATTCTAAATTAGCGAGAAGTCTGTGAACAAGGCATTCTTTGGCAAAAAAGTAGTAATTCTTTGCAACCAAAAAAATTTGAGGCTCAAAACGTTTGCTATAACTTACGGTACGCTTTGTGGCTTCACGCACTGTCCTTTTATCTGGTGTGAAAAGGGTTCCTCTTGAGATCTGGAACATGGAAACGAAGTAGCATATGGTACCACCGGCTTTACATTACTTCCACGTGTAGGAGGCAACATTGCACGAGATGACTTGACGTTTTCCTGTTCACATTGATCCTGAAGGCATTCATAACGAGGTTGTGGTTGCACCTGAAAAAGTCAACCATAATTACAAAACTTTGGAAAAAACTTTGTCATATCTTCTTATTGAAATTAAAGTTAAAAAAAAAGAAAAAACAGTAAGCCATGAAAGTAAACTTTCATGAATCAAACTGTGTCAAATCGTTTAGGCAATCTTATTAAATCATACCAATTATTTACTTCATCTTTTTTATCAAAAAACAGTTTTTTTCGCCTATGTTGACATCTCATTACAGCTTATTGAGAAAAATCAAAACGAAAGAAATGTATCAGTTACAGATATAAATATTACTTCAGCAGAAGGATGCATGAAAGTGCGATGTCGTAAAAGAGATAAGACAAACCTGTTGTTCCTTAAGGTATCGGCAAGGTTGTTTACGCGATGTACGTGGTAACGGTGCCGATGTGGACATCTAGAATAGATATTAATTAACGATAGCGCTTGTGTGATGCCTGGTTGCTAAATCGGCGCACGACCTCGAAGCAAAGAAAGGAGAAAACAAGACTAACAAAAAGACAAATGAAGGTAAGAATAATACGTAAGTCAATGACTCATTTCGAAAATAAATTAAACCAGTATTGTACAAATTGATGGAGAATGGTCAATCCACCAATATTTAGTTTCGCAAAATTTATAAGTGAAAGGAGCAGGTCCCTGAAGAAATGTAACTGCATCTACGGAAATAAGGACGAATTAAGTAGCCTAACTGGGGAAACACATTTATTGAATCCCACATATGCCGAATACAGGCACTTTGTAATGCAAAAGTCGGCAGTTTAAACATTTCAAGTTGCATCATTGTTATCAAAGAAAGCTGATACATGACATTGCAGATCTAGTCTCCAATAAAAGTTTGTAAGTTACAAATTCCCACACTTTAAAGTTCAATGCATTTTGTCGAGTTATTTATAAAATATAAATCAGTTACAAAAATATTTCAGAAATCGTCATGAATGCAGCACAAATTCCATGAACCTGCTCCCAAAATCGAGTTTAACAGCTTGCACACCTCACCTGGGTCATCTCCACGTTGATCAGGTAATTCGGCGCACCATATCTACCATATTCAGAGACTAAACACGGCCATAAATGGATCTCAAAATGTGTGATGATACTTGCAATACTGGATGTCTCGCATAACGGGATTTCCAAAGAATTTCAATAGTTTATCAAATAATCTGATATATGTTCGTTGCGCTATTTCTGTTCAGTTATTTCCTGCACCTCTTAACCGTATACCGTTACAAAACAAAATTTAAGCGAAGCAATTTGATTCATAATAATATATAACTGAAGAATTAATTTAAAAAACTGTCAAAAAAACATTTTATCATAAATGATCTAACAAAAAGCGCAACAAGCATATCACGTACCTATACGAAACAGTGAAAAAATTAACAAGATTAACATACAATATATATTGATTAAAATACTATAAAATTAGCAAAGATATAATGCTCATATAAAAACAAATCTTATTACACAAAAAAAAAGTCAAATCAATTAATTAATTTTCAAATTATAACTTCACTATATATATCATCGAAAAATTACTTTATTCATTAAATAACTAACTATTCTAATATGTTAAATGATAATCTAAATTTTACATTACATTACTAATTTGTCAAATATAGCTTAATCTTTTCTTTTTTTTTCTTTTGTTTTGATCTATAACATCTAGCTAAATATTTAAGCAAATTTGACTGATTGATTGACTGACTGAATCACATTAATCAAATTAAAATGATAAGAATTACCAATAATAAAAGATGTAAATCTTTTCGAATTTATTTCCTTCGTCCTGAAATCATTCAATCTAGCATAGCAGCATTAGCATTAGCAGTATTAGCATTAGCATTAGCAAGCAAAACCAATTCTCGTCCAACTAAACCAATCAATGATTATTGACCAGTGACAGCAACTGTTCATCAAAGTAGCATTGGCTCATTGCCAGAAACATTGATTTGCAGCAGCGCTTAGTGCAACTTGCGATGGTTCTTGCGGTGGCGTGTTGGCGCATGTGTGCAGCTCACCTTGACTTCATGCGTTTACATAAGAGATGGGTAGGGTAATTTAGGATGGGTTGGGTAAACAAAAGAAAAAAAAAAGGAAGGAGAAAAAAAGATGAATAAGGTATATTAATTAATATGAGTGGGAATGAAAATTTTAGCATTTTGTTAAATTTATCAGACATATGTCTTTTTCACCTAAGCCATGTATGTATATATCAATAATTTTCTCACATATTTTGTTTTGAAAAAAAAAGAAGGAAAGAAGTAAAAAAAATTCATTAAATTTAGTAGTGCATTATTGAGATTTGTTGTTTTTCTAATATAGTAATGCATTCATAGATTAAATAAATATGAAAAATCTGAATGGTATAAAATGTTTGAGAAATTTTTTCCAATTACCATGAATTTTCTTTTTGTAGTAATTATCTTATTTATGAGTAGAACGACAGAAATGATAGTTAAAATTTTGACGAGTATATCATTTTATTCTTTATAATCATAAGAATTGATATTTCAAAATATCTATTGTAAATTAATATTGATTTGCTAACTGTTGAAATTTCATACTGTCTGTGACAGTAATTTCTGACAGGAGATGTAATTGAATGAAATAGCTAATAACTTATGTAAATTAACTGGGTAGATTAGTAAGATTACCTTACATATGTGGATTATTTTTCTTGCAGATTTCATTTTTCGGGTTTTGCTCGCGTGTTGTGGTGACTTGGAATAACTTGCAATAGCATATCTGGTGGTTGTCATACCGGTCGTGGTGGTTTAAGAGCTGTCGACCTTAAAAAGGTAGTAAGCATTTTTTTCTTTATGAGTTTTTCGTTTTTTCAGTTAGTGTGAGTTGAATCAACATGTAATATTATCTTTTGAATCTGCTTGAGCATTCTGTAAGTCTGTTTGTAATTTTATGCTTGTTGGTTAACCATGTGAGAAAACTAGTAAGAATTGCATACACTTTTTTAATTTACTAAAATTTTTAGTTTGTGTTTTATTGTTACAATGATCAGAATGATGTTTATTTGCTAAAGATTTAATATAAATGCCATGCACGTTTATGACAGCGATAAATTGCATATTTTTGTTTAAAAGTTGGAATTAGGAAAACCGAAGCTAAAAGATTGAGATTCGATTTCGAAATGATTAAAAACTAATATATTTTAGATCTAGTTCGCTGGTTCTATTGTACATCACTTTTCCATCACACCTTTAATATGGCTGCTGAGGCTGAGAAGCTTAATCTGGACAATATCATCGCTAGGCTTCTAGAAGGTATAGTGTTTCATTGGTATGATCTGTGGAATGGTGATTTTAGTGTATAGAATTCTGTCAGGATTATATATATATGTGGTTACTGGTATTCCATATTTTCATAGTTTCGGTTAAATCTTCAAATTACTTCAATGTGTCTCTAATTTAAACAACAGCTGGATGGCGAACTTTCTGTGTGGAATTTCTCAGTAATCACAGTGCTTTGGAAGTTTAGGGATGGTTTCAAAACTTTGTTAATCCATGATAGGGTTCGGCATAATAAGTGTTTAACATCATTAAGTACCTGAATTACTATTTCATGTTTTATTTACAATTAGATAGTTGAGTACTTGTCATGCGTAATTTGGACAATTGAATGTATTTGCAGTACGTGGTTCGAAGCCAGGCAAAAATGTACAGCTGACAGAAAATGAGATTAAAGGCCTTTGCATCAAATCACGTGAAATATTTCTTAGTCAGCCGATCTTATTAGAACTCGAGGCGCCTCTAAAAATTTGCGGTATGTTCTGAAGATTATTCAGTTTTGTTTATAAATTTGTTCTTTAGTTATGTGCCAAATGTTTGTAACTTATTTTAGGTGATGTGCATGGGCAGTATTATGATCTGCTGCGACTTTTTGAATATGGTGGTTTTCCGCCCGAATCAAATTATCTCTTTCTTGGGGACTATGTAGATAGAGGTATACTTCATCTAGTATCATATTTTTTATAACTGATAATTTGGTCATGAATTTTTTCGTAAAAATTTGTTGCATACAAATATTCGTGCAATATTTATCAGTACCGTCTTCGGTAATCTGTGCATCATTTTTTGTCTTAGAATAAAAAAGGCCGTCATACCATTGTGTTTGATTTACCTGGTTCACCGGATTATATGCTAATCTAAAGCATTTGAATTTATCTGAATATCACACCAGAATTTGTTTTGGGTTGACTATGTCGTGTGAACATGACTTTTTGTTCATCAATCTTAATTTTTAGGTAAACAATCACTTGAAACAATCTGTTTACTGTTGGCTTATAAGATAAAATATCCCGAAAACTTTTTCCTCTTGCGCGGAAACCATGAATGCGCTTCTATTAACAGGATATATGGTTTCTACGATGAGTGTAAGTCAAATTTGTTAGTAAATTTAAATAATGTGAATTTTTAAAATTTGATTCAGTCAAGTTATTCTCCTTTTATCAGTGTTTTTTTTCCCCTTTTTTATCTGGTTAATAAGGGCGACAATTTTTTTTAGGTAAACGGCGTTACAATATCAAACTGTGGAAAACTTTTACTGATTGTTTCAACTGTTTGCCAGTGGCAGCAATAATAGATGAAAAGATTTTCTGTTGTCATGGAGGCCTTTCACCTGATCTGCAATCCATGGAACAGATTCGACGTATTATGCGTCCAACGGATGTACCAGACCAAGGCCTACTTTGCGATCTTCTGTGGTCCGATCCAGATAAGGATGTTACTGGTAAGCTTTACATTTTTGCATTGTATTTCATCAAAATAAAAAAAACTATGCTTCAGAAGAGAGTGAAGATGACGTTTTGCAGGCTGGGGTGAAAATGATCGAGGTGTTTCGTTTACCTTCGGTCCTGAAGTTGTGGCGAAGTTCCTGCATAAGCATGATTTGGATCTCATTTGTCGCGCTCATCAGGTTGTAGAGGATGGTTATGAATTTTTTGCCAAGAGGCAATTGGTAACATTGTTCTCCGCACCAAATTACTGTGGAGAATTCGATAATGCCGGGTCGATGATGACAGTGGATGAAACGCTCATGTGCTCTTTTCAGGTTAGTTTTGATTTATTGTGTTAAACTTTCTGTTTACTAAGGCATCTGATACCACGGTGCATTCAGTAACTGACATCAACATTTGGTGTCCTTGAGAGAGTCATACCAAAGGCTAACGTGTCTATAGCGACTACCTCTACTCGACTGATGATTGAATTGACAAAGACTTGTCTGGAATGTGTAACAGTGCTCCAAAGTCCACTTCTTTAGAGTTTTGAAAGAAATTTTAGAAAAATGAGATCCTTTGCAGATTTTGAAACCAGCGGATAAAAAGAAATTCCCGTATAGTGGCGTTGGATCTGGCCGTCCAGTGACACCACCGAGGACCCCGGCTCCAAATGCTAAAAAAGGAAAGAAATAGTTTGATCTACTGATTGCAGACGTTGTTTTAATACTTTAGTGTCTGCTGTGTTTTGGGGTGCACAAAAAAACTAGAGGGCTTTCTGTGGAGCACAGTGAGGGTTTATTAGATGTAGATATATTATTTACCTCCGTTTCTTAATAAATTTTTGGTTTAATTTACCGTTTTTTTTGCTTACTTTTACTGGGACTTGAAAAAGTTTCGGTGGTAAATTTGAACTCTTTCTTTTCGTGTGTTAAAGCCAATTCATTATCCAAGAACTATTTGTGCGAACAAGAATGTCTTGTCGGCGTGTAATTGTGTGTTGCACATTGACTTAACAATTTGTTGAATTTCAAGTTTATCAGTGATAATTTTGTCAGAGATACCTGAAATACTATTCTCTATACTATATGAAGTCTTATCAGATTTCATTTGAACGAACTTGTTCTATTAGCTCTGAATAAGTAAGTATCTCAAAAGGATCACTTGACCGTTTGGTAGTAGGTAGTACATATGTGTATTTTTTCACCGCAATGCGAATTGTTTAAGGCTTCACTTCGTTGGTCAGTTCTTTTTTTTTTCTAAAAAAAAAGAAAAAAAAATGAAATAACACATTGTCTATGTTTTCTTTGATAGCTGTTCCGCGTGGATTTTTTTTTTTTTTTTTTTAAGATAAGTAGTATTACATGTCAATCTTTATGTTTTGGTTTGACGATTTATTTACGTAAAATTTTATGACTTATAATATACATACATATATTTGTAAATTTCGGGCGACAGTTAACGATTTCTCACACATTTCCTTTTTTTTATCGAAAATAATCATTTCAGGAATTTTTTATTTAGTACAAGGAAATGAGTGTGTATGCGATTGGTATTGTTTTAGTAAATATATGGTTATCTTTGCAACTGGTAGTTTTTTTTTTCTTTTTTTCAGGTATTAACTGTTTTAGGTTAGGCGTCTTGTTTTGATGTGATATACATTGTTTTTTTTTTTTTTTTTTTTTTTTTGCAACATAATCTTCACGTGGCACATATACTGACATATAAAATTTACTTTTTTGTTACCATTTATTATTAAATGTTTGCAAAAAATACATATATTACGCTTATGTGATGAGCGTATTGAATGCTGAATGATATCATTTTTAATTTCAACCGTTACTTAAAGTTTGGGAAAGCTTTTTGATCTTGATCAGTACAGCATTTATCAAAGAAATATGACTTGTTAGAAACAAGGTCCTCAAATATTTACATTTAGTTGCGAAAATGATCATTTCGTCGTAAGGCTTTCATTTTTTAATATTTGAGTTAAACAATAGTTCATTTCGGTTGAAGAACTCAATTTCGAGATTTAATGGATCTTACTGAATTTAACTCATGCTAACTTAAATGGAAAAATGAGAGCTTCGTTCCAACCGACTGTAATTTGATTTTCTCATATTTGAAAAAAAAAAACTCCGTGACTATGGAGTATAAGAGATAGATGTTTGAAAAAGTTTTGATAAAAAGAATGACAATATCGCTGTCAGTATTTTAATTAATATTAGAAGAGCGATATAGTTAGTATTAAATGCAGAAATGGACACTGAGAATTGAATGTTGTTAAAAAATTTTTCACTATGAAACTTTTGATACATTAAATGTTGATTTTTCTAAAGTTTAAGCTTCTGAAATTGAAGCTTGATTTTATTATCAGTGATGTTTTTCATTCAATATTAACTTAATTTTGAGCAGAAAAGAAAAAGTATATCTTAGCTTACCAACTATTTTGTAGTTTTTTCAGAAAATTTGTAGATTCTCATTTGAAATGTTAAGATTTTTTAATCTACTATCATAAAATTAGATAATTTGTTACTTTACTACTTAAGCTACTTTTTTTTTAAAGCAGTAATATGAACCATTTATTTGAAATAGCGAATCTGATATGCACACCATCAGAAGTTAGTTATTGATTCGTTAATTAAACTTTTTTTTTTTTTTTTTTTTTTTGCGCACTGTGCACAATTTATGTTCGCTTATAGGCATAAGTCTTCTGGTATGTCTTCGATTTCTTGTAAACGATTTTCTGCAATTTAACACAATACACTCAATGTTATTAGTTATTGTTGGAATTGAAATTAGCTTTCATGAATTAATTGAATGTAACTGAATCATCAAGTAGATTGAATAAAATAAAATCACGGATCAATTAAACAGTTAGTAAATAAAATTATGAAGTAAGAGGTATAAATATTTATATTAAAAATTTTTTGTAAGCAAATAATCTTATCATTATATAATTTCCTAATTTCTCGTCCTACTTCAAATAATATCCGTGAAATAAATTGAAAAAAAGTTATATTTAAACCTTTTTGGTATCGCTTGTTTTTTTAGGTGGTGGCGGTGGTGGAGGTGGTGGTGGTGGTGGTGGCGGTGGTGGTGGTGGAGGTGGTGGAGGTGGCGGTGCTTGCTCTTGCTTTTTACCACCTCCAAAATAATCATCATCAATATCGATATCAAGTTCCGCTGGTCGTGTACCAAGGCCACCTGTTGCTTCAACAGGCACAAATGCACTTTTGTCAGCCATTTTAGCTATAAATTTATTTGAATCAAAAAAAAAAAAAAAAAACGGAAAAATAAATCTTAAATTTAAAAAAAAAAAACAAATCTTAAATTTAATCATCTCATATTAAAAAATAAAACAATTGTTTCTAAATTAATGAAAACTAGCACAAAATTTGTGCTATAACGAATTTATGTTCTATTTTTAAACAAATATACAAAAAAAAAAAAAAAAATTAAAGCTACTTTACGCAAATCAAAATGAAAACGTACGTGATAGCAAGTGTTAACAACCTTCGACGTCTAAATTATTCAAATGATTTTTTGTAAGGAACACAAATGCTGTACAAAATGACAGCTATGTCCCTCTTAATAAATAAATTGATTAAACTGCAATAGTCTGTTTGTCACCTTTGCACACCTTTTATAATCATCTATAAATTTATCTCTATGCATTCCTTTAATTTCTTTTTTTTTTCTTAAATATGCAAATTTTATCCAAAATGAAAAATTTTATTCTTCCAAAAAAAAAAAAGTGCACGGAAAATTTTCATTTCAAAATATTCTGAACAGAAATAAATTGATAAATATGAAATGCATATTATTAATAGAAATTAATTAGTCTAATCATAATTTTAAAGGAAATTTGTAGTACTTTTCTTCACTTGTTCCTATGCTTGCTTTTTTTTTTCTTGTTCTTAAAATGCATAAAATTCAATTACTTCAAGTTTTTTTTTTTTTAGGAAAATTCTGTTATCAAAACATTTTCCATTGATAATTGAAGGCTTTCTTTTATTATTTCAAATTTTTGTTAGAATATTTTTGAGTTGTATTCATTGATTATTCAATTTTGACTTGATAAAAGAATAGTCTTTTAATTGATTTTTTCATAACAATAAACTTATGTTTCATTCTTACATTTCCGATGTATGCGATATTCGTTAGTTACCATTCAAAAGATATGCATTATTCTGAGTGATGACTAAACATAAATGTGAGGAAAAATTTATTTTCAAATGTTTTGATGCTTAATGTATAGGAATAAGTTTTTCCTTGTTTTTGAATAGTATATATAAATAAGCAGTTATTTATAAATTCAATAAAAGAATTTTAAGAACTAAAATTATACCAAATCTTTTTCCACATTTTAAGAACTAATCACTTAAGCAAATTATGATTAGGAAACGTTCTATTTGACACAATTTAAATGAAATGAGATCATTTAGACACTCGTAATACAAGCTATTTATATTCGGAATAAAATAATGATTAGGAAACAGTGAAATGAAACGTTCACATTCCTTCGCATAAATAAGAATTTATAACTGAACAATACGTATATGGTATTTAAATTTGAGACATTTTTATTATGCATATCTGAATTGAAGAGCAATTTTATTTACAAATAATTCAAGACAATATAAAAATCCAAAATAGTAGCACAAGATAATAAGCAAAGCAATAAATTATTACAACAAACCAAAAAGATCAAAATAAGAACCGTTTGCATCGGCTTCATATTTTGATAATCAAATGGAATGTTCCATTTGAAGCAAGATTTGTTGTAAGATCAATATCACAAAGAGAACATACTATTTTCGACGACAAAAAAAAAAAAAAAATGCACCTGACTGATTTTGGCCAGAAAAGATCAATAAACATAGGTATTTATATTATGTGATAAATGGACAGCTTACAAGCGTTCAGTATAAAGATGTTTTACTGTCGAATATCATTTGCTAAAAATATAACATTTGAGGATGTATTTCAAATAAACTGCAATAAATCACCTTTTATTCGTAATTTTTGAGAACAATATGAAATATCTGGAATCCCTTTTAGTAATTTTTTCTTTCAAGAAAAAAGTTCCAAACTTTCGACAGTACGTTAAAGTTCAGGAACAATGCTTTAAAAATACCAATAAAATTCGTTTTCGATCAGTCTTTACATCTAAGAGACAAAACACATACCTGTCTAAATATATGAAAACCATATTTTAACACTGCAATAAAATATCATTTATAATTTTTCACATTCGAAACTGCATTTTGTGCTTCTTTCAGTTTCCACAAAATGTTCTGAAAAATTTTCATACACAGCATGTCGATAGTTTTAAAATTCAACGGAAATGAAAGAAAGTAAACAGAAACAAATTTTACGGCTAATTAACCTGTAAATCATCAGAATTACAACAAAATGAAATCCTCTCTAGAGTTGTTGAACCAGTCGGAATTGTATCCAAATGAATCTCGGCCACAACCATTTCTTTCTTACCTTTGTCTGTCTGAAACAAACACAAACTCTATATGGATATTCGAAGAATCATCCAATACATTGTTCAAAATGTAAAAAAAATATGCGCATTCTTTCGATACAGCGCTTATTCACAAACTAGGAAGCAGTCAAATCACAGTAAAAAAAAAAACTATGCATTATAGTAAAAATACTATGATATATTATGTCATATTCTGCCCCATTTTGCACAGGAAAATTAAATAGGAAAATTTAAAATTACTTCAAAAATTTTCTGCTGTAATAAACTCAAACTGAAAAGACAACAAAACTGTTCTTTACTCCTTATCCTTACATTATAACCTCCTACTATATATATAAAATACTTCTAAAGTTTTAGAAAGCTTCCAAGAGATATCAACAACTCGTGGTGGTTCCCAACCAATTGCTGACATACATTTTCGAATCGACTGCTCCTTTTCCTGGAAGCCAGTATTATAGTTGTTACCTGATACGATACATTGTATGACATATTGTGTCATATTCTACCTTATTTTACACAGGAGGATTAAATATGAAAGTTTGAAACTACTTCAGAAAGTAATATTGTATTATTGTTTTCAAACCATAGACTTATTCATACCCTAAAGACACTGATAATAGCCTGTGACAGCTCGTTTTTCGGTAGTAATTCCTCAAGTGCTGTCACAGATAGACCACGTCTTGCTGCTTCTACAAGCACTCCAGCAGCTGCATTCCAGTAAACTTGACTGCAAACTGATTCCTCCACTGAAATATATTTTATCCAAAAAGAAATAAGAGAAAATTTATAACCAAATTTAATAAGTACGAAAACTTGCATTTTGAAGGACCATCGTCAATCAACATCTGACATAAATTTTCGCAAACATCTTTAAAATCATTATAATTAGCTACCGAGCCATATTCTTCAATAGATTGAAGTAGATGAACCGGGAAAGTAGCCATTTCAAGAACTAAAAATGATCCAATGGCAAAGTGAAAATCTAAAAAAGAAATCAGATATGCGAAAACCAAAACTAAAATCTTTTCATTCATACAAAAAACTATATGAATAGTTTCAAATACTTCATAAAAAGCTAGGTGACTGAAGAACCATTAGGAAAGTGGAATAAAACAAAGGAATAGCTTTTAAAAAAGAACTTTTAACTGCTCACATCTAAGTCTCTTTCGGGAAATGAATACATTATTGCAATAATTTCAAAACTAGAAAATTCTTTGACGATGAAAACTTCTTAGATATCTACAGGAAGCAAATAAAGAAAAACAGCTTGGATATGCCTAAAACAGTTATTCGATAACAAAATGATCAAAATTTTATTAACAAAGAATTAAAAATAAAAACATACAAATATTAAAAAACAAGTGCATATATGAGCAAAGTAAACGGTAAAGCCCACTTCTGAGTCTACAACACTTTGGAATCTTTGAAATGTGCACACTGCCAATAATAAAACAGCAGAAGCAAAAAGTATTCTTTTTGAGTTATTTCAGATAAACATAGGTCATTTTTGCATCGAAACGAAACAACGAAATTAACAATTAAAATGTTCTTTGTACTTGGCTTTTTTTTTGTTTCCCTAGAATTCAATATAAGCATATTTCTGAGTAACTAAAGGTTCAGAAACTGGACTAAACAAAATTTAATTTAATAATCTTAACAATGGCGATTAATTGATAATTAATAATTAAATATCAATAACTGAGAATCTAAACTGCATAGGCTATCTAAGAAATCAGAAGAATTTGATTCCTAAAAACTAAAGCAAACCGGCTTTTTAATAAAGCCAAAACACATATCACATTAACTAGTCACTGGTAACTAATATTCCCATAAATAGAAAAATAAATACTCCTCTCTCATTCTGTGCCTCTACAAAATATTAGTTTGAGTGCTCCAAGACCTCACAGTGCTTTCGGAACAATTCCCCTTATAAACAAACAAAAGTCAACAAACAATAAGCAAAAAGTTTTTCAAAACAAAAAACATCACTAAACAAGATAGAACTGTCTAATACGTAACGATAAATACCTCGTTGATGGGAAGGTACAAAAATAAATCACCACTTCAAACGAAAGTCAATAAATACTATTCAAACAAACTTACTATCAACTTTTTCCATCCCTTTTCACTTCTTTCGCTTCCTGAACAATTTCTTCTCTGAACTGTTTTTGTAATTCTTCATCTATGCGTTCTTTTGCACGATACACCTGAAAAAACGTGTGCACAACTATTAGAACATTTCCATCAACTGTTATGAAAACTAATGATCTAGTCAACATGATCAGGACATAGTGTAGTTAATGTTATATATGGGAAGCAAGACCTAAATAATTGTGACTAGTAAAAGCTTTATCTTTTGTAGTAATTATGTATGCAGATCAAACTTCTGGAAAATAAATGAGCCGATTAATGGAAAAACAGCAGTTAACATAACATACTTTAGACTGTAGATACAATGAACCTCCCTTAGTTTTGTCATTTATACCAAATAAATGCCTGTAATTCTTTTCGACTTCTTCAGGCTTCAGTGGATCTTGCACATTCAAGATTTTCATCGCTTCCTACAAATCTTTTTGGTACCAAAAATATTAAAGAAATGAAATTCATGCACAAAAGGATCAAAAAAAATATATTTAATTAAACAATAGACCTGTAAAGATATTCCAAGTCTCGCATTTGTTCGGCTTGCTTCACGTGCTTCATTTTGACTTTGGCCAGTATGCTGAGCGCGATTGGCTGCTGCTTGTCTGCTTGCTGAAATGTAATCCTAATAATGTTATATTATAGTAAGAGAGAAATAGACAAGGATTCTTGGCAAAAAAATTTATAAAACCTTAAGACAACCTAATTTACATTCGAATGTTCCAGCATATATTTATTCCCACTTATTTCATAATTAACATTTTTTTCATCACTTCCTTATGCAAGAATAACGTGGTCACGCTCGGTACTAATACATAAAAGGATTTAAAAAAAAAAAATAGAAACTCAAATTACATGTAAAATGGCTAAAAAGTACAGCTACATCTATTATATCATATCTTTAAATAAAAAAATTTAGACTATTTTTAATTTTCAAATGGTCATAAATTAAATATAATTATGCTCATAAATTAAGCATCATTATGAGACATATATTAAGACGTGTTCAAATGTAAACAGTTAAATGCCTCAAACTATTACATAGAGATATAAACAATTCCTATCATTTTTATCTAATTTTTTTCCCCAATTTAAAAAAAAAAGAAAGATAACCTCTAATTTCTTCCTGTACAGCTCGAGTGAATGCTTTACTCAAAGCTTCGCTAGTTGCGATCACAATTTTAATCGCATTTCTCCATACCATAACGTGTTAGCTAGAAATGAAAATTTAAATTGTACGCAATGAACAGGTAAACAACATAATTATATATTTATTATATAATATTTTCAAATAAATCTTTCATATTCTCAGTTATTGTTACTGTTCAATAATTCATTTTGATTGTTTTCATCATATTCTTTCACCAATATTTTTACACCTCTAATGCAAACATCTTCCTAACTCTCTCAATTCTTAATTAAAGTTTGGTATATAATTTTCCGGAAGACAAATATACACCCTCATTTTCCGGCAAACTTGACATTCGGGAAACTTCCTACCACTTTATTTTACAATCCTTCTCAATATGCAACTAACACTTACTGCCACCAAGCTTTTACGGTCCGTTAAAGAATGGTATAGATTACACGAAGTCTTACGTAAACTTGTACGATTATTGTACGTGTGATGCGTGTTATTCCGTCTCCTGTTATTGGCAATTTGAGGTATTTATTAGTTAAAAATTATCATTAACTAATTTAATTTAGGTATGGCTAACATTATGCATCGACTAATTGAGCCAAGTTATGGTGCACTTATCAACGTTAGTGCTAGCCATTTGCATATCTCAGCAGTGCAACTTTCTTCACCATTTGTGAAAGCACAGAAAAAAATGGATCCTGAAATTGCTAAACTAAGAGAAGAGAGAAAGAGGTATTTATCTGTTGTTTTTAGTTTAATCTTAGTTTATCACTTTCCATATTTAGTAAGTGACTATTCATGGTATGATACGTGAAAGTAAAGGAACATATTATTGTATAATTCAAGAGCATTTTTTGTCGGCAAATTAGATAAATAAAAATTTGTTGATTTAATTTAGCGAATTTTGTTTTGTTTGTCTTATTTATTAGAAGCAGAATAAAAGATCAGTCATGTCTTCATTTAATTATTCTGTTACACGTAATGATTTGTGTCGAAAAATATCACGTCATGTTATTAATTTGTGCACTTAGATTTTTGGACTTTGCACTTCTGTTCACTCATATTATTAGAGCAAATTATATCATTGATATTTTTTTTTATTTATTCAGAAGAAAACTGAAGAAAGAAATCAAACTTCTAGAAAGCTTTGGCAAGAAACCGAAACCTGTGGAGGAATTAATTTTTGATAAAAAATATGAAGAAACTATTAATGAACGAATACGCCCCAAAGTTGAAGTTAGATTTGTTTCCTTTCCGTTTCTAATTGAGTTTATTTATCGATTTGTTCAAATATTCGGCACAAAATCGTCAAATGGTGAAATGTTTAAATGTTATTACTCAGGAAATGCACATATTTTCGTTAGGAATCATCATGTTAGATTTAATTTTGGTGACATCGGGTGACATTTTTTTTCTGTTTCTATCTGGCGCAATCAGATGATATTTGTGTGGGAGATAGTCCCAAAAGTTTTTGAGTTTTATGGAATTTGCAATCTCGTATTGAAATTTTCGGGAATATATCTTGTTATCCTTTCTAGTTAATCCCGTATAGAAATAAATTCACTTTGTTCCAGTGAAGACATTTTACTTGTCTTGCTGTATCTAATGAGTATTTGGACGAAGTTTTTTCATCAAAAATATTCTTAAAATTTGTGAAATATGGAACTAAAAAAAGCAGCATCAATATGTCTAAATGAAATGCTTTATCTTCAGTTAAGTGAAGATGAGAAGGATGAGCGTGCTGCTCTAGAGATGGAATACAAGCGCTATCTTAATAAGTTAGCAGTTATGGATACTCGTTGGATCGCAAAAAGTGTTCAGAAACAAGAAAATGCTTTGCAGAAGCTCAAGGTTTCATTTATTTATATTCTCTTAATGGAACTGATTACTTTCGACAAGTTCCCAAATGGCGAAATAATCGCCTGACTGTTTTTCTTAATTATTTTAAACTTTATCCGGGGATTTCAGAAGCTCTTGTCTTTCTAACCTTTTTATTAAAAAAAAAAAAAAAAAAACTCATATTGTGATATGATGTTGAATTGCACGTTGAGATTTTGCATTTACAATAGCGGAATTTTTTTGGGCTGTTCATTAGATCATTGTCAACTACATTGCAATCATTTTGCTCTATTTTAGACAAGTAGTACCTTATAGCTGCATTTTTAAAAAATTGAAAATATGTAAAATTTCAGATGTTATCGCCAGAATTATACAAAGCTGCCCTGGAACCTGATGAATGTTTTTTGCAAAATTTCGTCTACCGGGGTCCAACACTGACGCCTCCAATAGAATCATACGAGCCACCTGATGGGCATTATATCGATGTCAGCAAAAAGTGGTTATGTTAAGTTTCCACAAAATTATCAGTATTCTGTAGCTTAAATAACAGGTATTAGGTTATTGAAAATGAATGATATACAACAGGAAGGTTTTGTTATAATCCATTCTTTCAAATATGCTTTTCGATTTGACAATTTATTAGAAAGCAAATCATTTTGCTTTGTAAACTTTGTTGTAAATTGTCATCAAAAAATTTCTTTTCTTACTAATTTAGTTTTGTTATCTGCATTGCTCATTGTAGGTTACTCCATTTATTTTAGTGTTAGATGACTTGTGATTAATTAATAAATGTTAATTTGTTTTTCCTTTTTTTTTAAATGCTTTGCTAAAGTAACAAGTTTGTCGTTAAAAAAGAGTATTATATCCAGTTACCTTTTCCAATAAAAATTTTGAGTTTTAGGAAAACTATTGTAGACATTATTTCATATTGTAGTTAGTATTATCACGAAAATGTTGCTTACTTCAACATCGTATATTAGTCTTTTATCAGTTAACTGTGAAACTGTGTTTTGTACATATTGTAATTCAAAAGTCATAAAATATTCGTTTAACAAGGATGTGTAGCACAATATAAAACACATTTAGTCTTACTTTTTAAAGTCATTTCTAGATGTTTTCAAGCTGATGGATGGTCGCTTTAAACAAATTAGCGATTTCTATATTATTAATTCATCAAAAATTACATTTAGTAAAGATAAAGTTGGGACCGGAAATTTTGCTGATGTATATAAAGGTGTTGATTGACCTTGCATTTCAGCTTATAACTGCTAATTGCTACAGTTTAGACAAAGAAAGGCTTTTGTTATTAAAAATTTTGTTTCATGATATTAAACTTGTCTGTTTGCTTGGTTTGATTTCATAAAACATCAATTTTTAATATAAGCAGCCGTAGATTTGAAATGATTGTTAGGAACGTATCGCAGAGGCAACGAAAAAATATTGGTAGCGGTGAAAATTGTTCGAGTTGGTGGCGGTAATGTGGTATTCTTTTGTCTCAAGTTTTTTCTGTTACCTTCTAAATCCCTTAACAAAGTTTCATTTTTCATCCTACTAAATAAAGCTATGATTTTGGGATTTCGACGCAAATAATCAACATAGATTATTAAGCCATTGCTCTCCTTTTATACATTTAGCATTTAATTATTACTTAAATTTACTTACGTGAACAGATAGTGCTAATTGACATGATCAGATATATGATAATATGATAAGTGGTATTAAGTTTGTTTTCCTAACATTTTAACAAATATAAAAATAAATTATATTATTTATGATGTAATTAATTAATTTGTATTAGAATTTAAAGTACGTCTATAAATTAAGAAGTTATACTGATAGGATACCGAATTACGCTGCTTATCAGAATTGACGAACGAAGCAATAATTATGTCATTGCATCATCATCGATGTGTTATTGAATTCTACGGCATTTCATCCGATAAGGTTTTCGCAGAGTTTTTGGAAAGTATTTCAAGATTTTATGAAAGTTAACTAATTAAAGAAGTCAGTGAATGTATTAGAGAAAATAGAAGCACTGTATGCTTCTTCAATTGAACTTCAATTTTAATTTGCTAGTTGTTAAATTTTCACTTATAACTGATTTCATCACTGTCAGATTCCAATGATTTTGATGGAGTATTGTGCAGGTGGTTCGTTGGAATTACATCTGCAAAAATTTAAAGAGCGAATTTCAACTGCAGGCACAATTCTTTCACATAATAAAACGGAAAATGTTGGGAGAGAACGGAAAATTATTATTATTATTGTCATTATTATTATTATTATTATTATTATTATTATTATTATTATTATTATATATTATTTATTATTATTAATGTCATCATTATTAATTATCATTATTATTGTCAATTATTATTACTATTAATTGTTATCGTCATCAATTATTTTTAGTATTAATTACTACCACTATCAATTATTATCAGTATAAATTATTATTGCTACAAATTATTTTTATTATTATTTGTTCATTAATTTATCGCTCATAACACTCTAGATTTGCTTATTTTTTTTTTTTTAAATCTTACATTATCAGATCAATTCTTCTTTCTTTTTTAAAGATGTCTTATCAGGTGTTTATCATTTGAATAATCTTTTATGATACATTTGCCAGTTATTTCAATTGCTAGGAAATATTTCAGAAAGAGTTGCATATATGTTTCAAATCTCAGATGGTATGCGCTATTTGGAAAGGAAAAGATGTGTTCATCGAGATTTAGCAACACGAAATGTGCTTATATCCAGTACAGGATGCTTAAAAATCAGTGATTTTGGTTTAAGTTTTAGTCCTGCTATTCAAGTGCCAAAAGATTTGAGTCATACACATGTGAGAAGTTAATTAATGCTGAATTTATAAAATTTAAAATTACACTTTTAGTCTTTTTTTTTTTTAATGAATTTTTATAATAATCCTTTTAATATTACACTTTTTGAGAGATATAAAAGAATGTTGAAGTAAGAATAGCATGCTTTATTCACTTAAAAATTTTCATAACTTCAGATTATTTCAGATATTTTTGATAATAATTCTCTTTTTTTTTTTTTTTTTTTTTCTTGAAGATTCCAATTCGTTGGATGGCTCCAGAAACATTAACTCGTACACCAATTTATTCATCAAAATCAGATATTTGGTCATTTGGTATTGTTATATTTGAAGTAAGCAAAATTTATAAGTAATATTAATGCAAAATTTGCAAGTAGTATTGAATGTAAAAACTTAAATAAGAGATAAGAATTGAGAAATGCTTATGAGAATTTAAAATAGTGCAATTTTCTTTTTCAACCTGTTATACTACTTTTTGTTGTTATTGTTATTTAGATATTTAATTGTGGAGGAAAACCATGGCCAGAGAAACCGGTAAAATGGATTGCAACAAAAATTCGAAAAGGTATAACACCTGAAATGCCACGACGAATGCCACGTCTTATTAGAGAAATAGCTAGTGCTTGCTTCCAATTTGAACCAGATAAAAGACCTACCTTTAGACAGGTTATTTTAAAATTAATAACTACCATACTTACTATTAATAATAGTAGTTAATATTCGAGAGATATTCTCGAGAGAAAAATATAATATTTTGCTTAGAAAGAAATTTTAAGTTTTAAGCATAAGAAAATATTGAAGATTCTAGAATATTTGTGTAGAAGCAATAACTCATAGTAACATTTGAGTTAAAAAACTAAAATTGAAACATACTTTATGAATTTTAAAATTAATTCAAAGAAGAATTAATAAAATTTTGAAAAATTTTTTAACAATTGTTGATATCCTATCAAAAAGTTTTCTCTTTCATTATAGCAATCAATGATAAGAGAATTACAGGTGAACGGTTGGATTCTTTTGGTACAAGGTATACGTTTTCCACCATTACCTCCTTCTACACTATCAGTGGCACAATTAAAAAATGTTAAAGTAAACATTTCCTCATGTTTTGTTACTAAATCAACTAATTAATTAATTAATTGCAGTAATTTAATTTAGAATTATTTCTTTCCACTCATTATCTATTAATTGGCATAGAATTATGTTTTAAAAATTAAAAAAAAAAAGTGTATGCATTGCTTATGAATCAAAAATTTGGTGGCATAAATTTTTAATAAATTATTTTTTCAAAATGTAAAAAAAAAATCAAACTATTGATCAACATAATAAGATATTATTATTGAATTACGAAAACAAGTGCTAATTAAATTTTCTTCTTCAGAATTGATTAGATAATCTTTGAAATTTAATAGTATCGTATTATTTATTCATTAATTAAGATTGCTGTGACTATTTTTAATATGAATGATGATAAATTGATTTTAATAATGATCATTAATTATCATTATTTTAATTGTAATTTATTATCATAATTTGCATAATGAATGCTTTTTACTGAATGTTTGAAATTGAAAATATAAAATTTTCATTGCAGCCAGTAAAATTTGTGGAAAAAGATCCGGAAGCAATTGCGATAGAATTCGATGATGTGAAAAGCGAGCAGCAACAACCTGATATTGATAACGCAGTAAGCAAAAACTATAAAATTAATTAAATGTATTCTAAGTATACTTCTAGTTAGGTTTTTTTTTTCACAGTTGAACTTTGAACTTATCATTAATTAATTTAAAAATTATTTATCAATTGAAGGAGCCAAAAATGATACAAAAGCCAGAAATAAAAGAAACTACTCCTGAAGTGAATAAAAATGCATTTACAGAGGATCAAGAGAAGTATGCCATTTATAATTTTATTGTTACTAATATTTTAAGTTAACAATTATTTTTCAAAACATTTTTGCAGAAATTTAAATTTTATTGGAAAATGTTTTATGAAAAAGAAAATATAGAAAATGGCAATTTGAAGATTCAATTAGAAATATAAATTTAAAGTTGAAATTTTAAAAAATAACAAAAAGATGCTTAAATGAATAATAAAGTCGAATGTATTGTATCATAATGTATTTTTGAAAACTAATTTTTAAAAATTACAGCTTGCGAACACAAAAACAAGAAGGTATTCTTCATTTCTTATTTTTTATATCAAATTGTTACAATTTTGTATTATTAATTGCGAGCAATTTTATCTGTTATATCATTGATCATACCTGATCGATGGTGATAATAGATAATGATTCTTATCATTCTTTCTAGCATTTTCAACTTAATAAAATTTTCACAGAGCACTTTAGCCATTAAATAAAAATAAATTTAATAAAAACTTTATTTCTGGTAGAATCGAAAAAGGTGGCAGTTACGGAATCAGATGATGATGATGACGATGATGAATGTCTCAGAGATGCTAAAAAGAGATTAGAAAAAAAGAATAACAAAGTAATTTATCCTTACAACTTATGAAAGAGATTTGTTGCAAGAATTGATTAAACATCAAATATTAAAAAAAGCTTTAAATAGCTCAAAAACAAAAAACAAGAAGGAAACACCTTGAGTTATACTTCAACTCAAAAAAAAAAAAGAATAACAGCAAACTTTACAGTACAGTAGACGATAGAATTCTCACATTTGAATTTACTGCCACTTAAAAAAAAAAATTAAACTGCTTTGAGTGAAATATTTTGTTTCAGGGTCCCGGTCAAAATCAATAATACTATTTTAGATTCCTGAGAATTGTTTCTTATTCGGATACATTCTCATTTATTATCATCCTATAAATTTGTTATTGTAAACGATGCTTTTTGAGTATATTTCTTGCTATTAAACATCCAATATCATCATGGTGCAGTAATTCATAGGCTAGAAGGAAATTTTTATTTGCTGAATTCCTCTTTCTTCCGTGTAAAATTCATTTTGATTTTCTCATCACAAAAATTAAGAGTAAATATTATCAATAAAAATGCAATAAATAAACAAAATTCCTAACTTACATTTTTCTCCAAACAAATTGCAAACTTTCATGCAGGAAGCAATTTCTCGAACTATTCAAAGCCTAATGGGCTGAATAACGACAAGATAGCTAATGAGGAATTCAATGCGATGTTTCTACAATAAATGTATGAAACTTTTTTAGAATGCTTAGTTGAAGAAATCATTATATCTAAGAATCAAGGTGATTATTAGTGAGCAAAACATTGTAAATATCAACTGTTTATAACAATTTTCTCTACAATAGTTTTTTCATTGCTAACAAATATATTTCTGCACTATGATCACGACTAGCTTTAGGTTTCACGGTGTACACGTTTCTAAAATCTTGCTTAAGGCGTTCAATAAATTCTTCTCGCCTTGGTCCATCCCATATTTTGCAAAGAAATGTTCCATTTTTCACTAGAGGAATTACCGACTTTCTCACACTAAGTTCCAGTGCTGTTGCACAAAGTGATAAAATCCGTTCATGGTCAATTCCTCCATCACCTAAAACAATTTTAAAATAAACATAATGAAACAATGTGAATTTATGGAAAAAAAAATTTTTACATCCCTTATTTCATTGGTACTACAAATGTTCAATATTATCGCTCAATCATATCATTCTCCTTCTTCAACTATTCTCAACAATCAAAAAGAAATAGATTAAAGAAATCAAAAGTGAAGTCAATCAGGAAAAAAATTATTTTAGTAATTGCTCCTGTGTTAATACTGAATGTTAAAAGATTCATTACCAGTAGGATTTGGAGCCATATCACTGATTACAACATCAACAGATCTTCCGTTCAGAATTTGCTTTATATTTTCGTGTGTTTTTTGAGCAGTGATATCGGACAAATCCAAAAAATTAACACCCGAAATTGGTAATATTGGCTGAAAAAAAAATGTGGCTATATCAGTTATCATCGTATGAGTTCAAATCTGAACATTTGGCAACAGTAGAAAAAAAAAAAAAAAAAAAAAAACTAAATACCTGCAAATCAATGCCCAAAATAAGAGCATTATCATATACGTTTGGTTGTACAATATCAGCAACTACCTGACACCACGATCCAGGAGCTGCTCCAACATCAACAACTACCATACCTAAATAGAGGAATAAATTCGAGAAAAAGAAGAAGGTTAACATTGTGACAGAGAAATCTTATGAGAAATCAATGAAAGGAGGAATTATAATTCCATTTAATTCTTCAACATACTTTAAACAATTAGCTTTCCTTTCCTTCATTCATCTCTTTTCTTTTCATTCAGTTGCTAGATCTATCACTGATCTTAAGTACATCTAGAATTAAACTTACCAGGCTTAATAATTTTATACTTTTCGTTGATTTCTAGTAGCTTATAGGCACTTCGAGCTCGATACGAATGTTCACGAGCCTTCTTGGAGAATTCATCAGACCACTGCTTATGTAAATATTTCAAAGTAGCTGTCGATTTTTTACCCTTGGAGAAACAACGCACCGGAAGCCATAACGTGATTAGTTCTGCCTTCAGTTTGATATTGAAAAACATTATCAACGACACATCATCACCTGAATTACAATGAAATCTGATTAAATTTATACCTGTCCAAAAACACCTATCATTATTGCATTTGATCATTGACAGAGTGCATCTCGCAGTCAGCATATGAGAACTTTGGAACAAGCTAATGATTCGAACCAAAAAAATCCCAGAAAACACAACTCTACGCAACATTCACTCACCATCCTGTAGGGTTTAGTATTCGCAGAGCACAATTTTAGATATCAATATGCTATCAGTTTTCATTATGACCGCAGAATAATAAATATTAACAGTAGATAATATTACCTTCTAAATGAAAGCTGATAAAATATTGGCTGTTTCAAAGAATACTTCCTTCAGTGGGATGGAAAGGACAGGATTTAATATCATTATTTAAAGAAAGAAAACTATGTCTGGCCCTTTTGACTACTTTTGTATAACAGATTGGTATTGACCTCCGAAATACTTAAGTGATAATGTGCAGATGAGTCATCACGTATGAAATATCACGAAAACCCCAGGTTAATTTTATAAATGCAGATTTTGGATTTTATCTTCACCTTAATCACAAGTGTAAAATTGTTAGCGCATTAAGTTTTTATAAAAATTTGTTTTTAAAGCACAAATAAATGTCATCAATACCAAATACTTTCAATTTCTTGAAAAAACAAATTTGTAAAAAATATTAGATTCAAGCAAATTTGAAGATTATACAACTCGCCTACATTTTCTGAGGTTCACAACAATGTAAAAAAGAAATATGTACATAAACAAATAGTTGCAGCATAATAAGACATTTCTAGAAATCCTTCGGTGTCAAGCACTGATTAACAGCATGCAGCAAATCAGGATTTTCAAGTGCAGCCGCCACTCTTTCCTTGTCTGCTAACTGCTTGTTTATTGCATCTGCTGACATATGAGTACCAGCCATTATTCTCACTATTAACTGCAATAGTCAAAAAGTTAATCACACACTGTCAGGTGATATGTTTGATTTGCACGGATCTATTTAAGAAACATTTTTGCAGTATTTTTAAACTCAAATGATTACTTTTAGATAATTTTTCTTTAAAAAGTGCATAAATTAGAGCTGATGACGACATACAAAAATTAAACTTTCGGAAATTATTTTACCTTCACACTAGGATGCACAGAACGTTGCAATTTTGTTCTTATTGTTAGGCCAATCAATGTTGCCATTGAACAGTGTGGTATTGTAGGAACGTATTCAACCTGCCAAAAGACCATCAGTTGACAAAGTTTAAAAAGAAGGATAGAAAAGCTAACACTTAAAAAAAAAAAAAAAAAACGAGCAAAAATCTCATTATTACATTAACAATCATCTCGTCATTATCTTTGTCAACCACAATGAGTTCTTCCTGAACGACATTCAGTTGTTCAAGCGTAAGAGGATGTTCCGGATCATTGATATCTCTGGAACAACACGACCTGTTACAACAAGAAGAGGAATATGGTAACAAATAGCTCTACTAACTAGAATGCAATTTTTACAAATTTACAAACACCAACTGATGAATTTACAAACAGTCCAATACTATTAAGTCAGTGCTGAATAGTCCCAGTTCACAAGCAGAAAATGTCAGGTGTCAGTTTGTCTGAAATTTCTCGAGAAAAACTCAAAACATCGCAATGTAAAGCCACGATTATAGCAAATTTCGTGAATTATATGATTTCGCAAAAAAAAAAAAAAAGGTAACCTTATATAGTCAAAGATTTCCTGAGCATCAATTGGATCAATAATGTTTGGATTCAACTCTGAATCAGATAATTTCTTAACACGAGACTTCGTGCTATACACTGTCGGTGTTGCATTTTCTAACTTACTGGGTACCATTAAAATTTCGTTTTATCCGTCGATTAGCTTGTTTGGATAATCATAAGTTTTCTGAAACACTCATCTTGCATTGAAAATAACTGCGCGTTCAAAATAGACGTATCAGTTTAATGTTAAGTAATTAAGCAAACACTAACATTACAATTAGTCTTCGAAGGTCAACAAATCCTACCATCTATTTCTGATATTCTTAACATAATAAATGAAATGAGAGACTGGAAGAACTAAAAATATTAAGCTGAGAATAATCGGTCATTGAGAAGTGTAAATAAATTATGGAAAGGATGCAATTAGTTATTTTGCTTAAAATTTAATTATTTTATTTATTACCTATTTAATTTGAACTACTTAGAATTCTAAAAAGCTAAAAAACATGTTGAAATTCAAAGAATTAAAATGCAAACTATTATAATAATAAAGAGAGAAAACAGACTGAAACAAGCTAAAAAAGATGCTAAGACAATAATACCCCACGGGAAACACTTTGGGCAAATTTCGTCACGAAAAAATCCATACCCGAAAAATACCAA